TGATGAGCTTTTCTGTGAACCTTCAGACGAGCATGGAAGCAATGGTGTTCACCTGTCAACAACTGAGTTATGCATGGCCAGGTAACTTGCTCATGTGACAAACTCCATCTTGGGTTATCCTTTTATACAGGAGAACAATGGGAGTCTGTTCACATGGCCCGCGATATAAAAAAGGGCCCTGGAGATTCTTTCATTTTGTCTTCAATACTGCGCCTCCCCCCCGGAGGATATTTGCTATGAATTGAAGCCTGAAACAAATAACTGAGGACCCATCCTAAGAGCAGATGTATTCAAAAGACTTCATTTAAGATGGCAAATTATTCCATCACTGCTACAAGACTGCACCAAGAACTTTACGGTTGATGTATATAATTTGATTTCTTTATTCATAAAGAAAGAAAGGTAAAGCTACTCCATTTAATTTCTAGTGAAAGCCATTAGTGATACTTAAGGTACTTAATGACCCGGTGACAAAGTCAATGATCTGTAAATGGCTGTATTTGTCATGTAAGCCTAAAATGTGGTTGGTCCTACAAAAGACATGTGAGCATGCCATCCAGGGCTGCAACTCATCTGGAATTTGATACTCTTCCATGACTATGGGTACAACTGAATAAAGGATTCCTGCCCTAGGAAACAACAGCAAAAAAGAATTGTCTTCAGTTGGCCTTTGAAACTGCTTCCCCACCTTAAGGGGACACACATGAAGAAACATGAAAGTAAAGATTAAGGAGAGACGACCCAGGCCAGAGAAAAGATCAACTCTGACAAGAAGAATTTTACATGAAATAAGGACTAGGGTGAGCAATGTGATTGGTAATTTCTCTGAGTGTATTAGGCTTAGCTGGCATGTTTTATCTATTTTAGATTACTCACTTGCTTTGATCATCTGTGTGTTTTCACTTGCAATCACTTAAATCCTACTTTTTATACTTAATGGTTATCGGGGGGGAGGGGGGAGAAGAGATAGGACATTCAACAGCTGTGCATCTCTCACTTTCATTAATAAAGAGAGTGAACCATATGAGCTTTCTCTGTGTATAACTTTTATACGAAGTAAAATGGATTTATTTGGGGTTTTGGTGCTTTTTAAGGCTGCACTCTTGGTTGCTGTCAAATCCTTGTAGCTGAGCCCTCCCATAGCTGAGCTGTTCTCAGTGTCTGTGTTAGTCTGCTAGGGGTTGTAACCCCAATTTCTGTCCTCGGCAAGATTTACAATGTTTCCACAGGGATAAATCTGTCATGCAATTAAATTTCAATAACAAATATGCTGATATTGAATGAACTAGAATAGTCTCCTCACTACTTGCCTGTATTTTGTAAATTATGCAGGACTAATGGAAGCAGAAAAAATATTTTGTTACTGAAACAGATACACCAGAAACAGACAGGAGCAAAGCTGTTGATTAAGTGATACAACTTCAACAGTCTGCTTTCTAACCATAATCACTAAGTAAAAAATGTTAATAAACCAGCCTAGTCTCCATGCTGTTTAAGCTAAGGTCAGTCAAACTGATGGAATATTCTGAATAAAAAAATTGTAAAAAACCTCCATATTCCTAAGTAGCAATTTGTAATCATTAACAATTTAATTTTCACAATTCAATTGAATCTGGCACCCTTAGGGAACCACAAGCACTTTAAAAGCAGAGAATGTTTCACTGGTCTTATGCTAAAGACCTGAGACACAGGAGTATCTTAACATACATATTTTTTAGAGAAGAGGAGACATTTTGGAGCAATAAGCCTTTGAGGATCAAGAATAAAAGCATACAGTTACTACAGCAATCACAAAGCCAATCAGGAAATCAAAGTGTAAAAGGTAAGTTGCACCACACTGCTTATTTATATTCAGCTATTTCTTCAAAATAATGTAACAGATTTTAAAACTTGGTTGGAAGATAAAGTTCTTTAATGGACAGCTCCCTTAATCTAGCCAAAAACTCGAAGGCACTACATGGCCTCATACACAAACCAATCAGCATTATTACCACCATATTTTGGAACAATAGCATTAGCTTCAGTACTTGACTGTCTGCTTTGTTCTCTCAAACTAAAATATGGGGTAAGCCCACAAGATGAATAAAAAAAAATCTTGTCAAACTTCTGGCTGAGTGCTGCTTTTGAAATACATAAAACGATGCCTTTCTCCACCCTCACACACTAACATGAATTATTAAATGTACACAGTGTTGTTGTAATTAGGCTGGGCCCTCATCTTATGAACTTGAAGAGCTGTGTATAAGATCAAAAGTGTGTGTCTTTCACAACCAGAAGCTGATCCTATCCAAAAGATTATCTGACCTACATTGTTTCTCTTGAGTTATTAAAGAACTACCCAAACTAGCAATCAGTAAGATCACGTTCACATTAGGGGGAAAAAGCCAACAAGTTAAAAAGTGTGAATCCTAGCGTAAAGTGTACAGCTATAGAGCAGTTGGAGTTTTAATACAACTGAGGTGAACTCTGGGGAGATTTTGCTTGATCAGCTAACATGAAAGATAGTGAATAGAAGGCCTTTTTCATAGTGAAAGTGAGGCCTCAGAATAAACTGTGTAGGCCTACTTTTGATACAATACTTTCTCACCTTTATCACCTGCCTGGATGAACAGTGAAATAATTAACTATGCTGGCATTTAAAGTATCATTTTTGGCATTTGATTTAGCATACACTAGAATGAACTGTGATGTTCACACTTTTGAGCTAGTTTCACATGTACTAAAAGCTTATTTCTACATTACAAATTTTTGCCACTGCAAATTGCATTGGCATAAAACCACCATAGTTAATATATAGCTAAAGCTCTTGCACAGTTAGCTTTGTCGTACCGATCATGAGTTCGTGTTTCAACATGCAGTGCAAAATGGACAGCATCCTGGTGTGCAGCTTGTCAACACCCAAAATGCTGTCTTTTGGAAAGTTTTGCAAATGTAGAGTAGTCGAGTTCCCATCATGCAATATTCTCCACTCCATAATGACATCTCCATTTCATAACTTTCACACCTATTTTGAAAATCTCATGAACCTGCACAGATCTTGCTCTTTGCCATCTAACAGGGGCACAGAGCCCACACAAATCTACATTACTGTCACTGGCATTACAAGCACAGGGTGTACTACTTGCCAGCATTTGCAGAGTCACAAGAAGAGATGATTTTCTGCAGGTTAAATGGCTCTGGGACGTAGCAAGAACCAATTCAAGGTTGTTGCTGGCATTAAAGGAGCAGGCTAGGAGAGTGGGCTTCCAGTCAACATGACCCGTTGGCAGTACAGCTCACAGTGGCAAAACAGCAGTCAATGTTAGACAGCTTCTGGAAGACTGAAAGAGTTCACCCTAATAATGCAACATCTGCACTCACACCTCAACTTCAGTACATTGACCATGGCTCAATGAGGAGTTTTACTATGGAGAACTCCAATCAGTGAGAAAAAATTTAGTGTAGAGAGCTGCACATACAGGGTGATGCAAAGCTATTTACGTGGCACCCAGAACTGGATATAAAACTCCAGCTGAGGCCAAATCAGCACAGAAGAATTACTTTGTGTCTTGCTTACAACACTCCTATTAGTACATCCCACAATGTTTGCTTTTTTTGCAACAGTGTCACATTGTTGACTCACTTAGCTTGTGGTCCACTGTGTCCCCTTTCCATAGTACTCATTCCTAGGTAGTCATTTCACATTTTTTGTACGTGCATGTTATCACTAAAACAGATTGTAAGTTGGAGAATCAGACAGATACTAGTTTCCCAGAAACAACAACAACAACAACAACAACGAGAGTAACCAATGCCCAGGCAGAGTGTCAATGGCCATTTTCCAGCAAGACAGCTACAATGTAATGACTTACCTGCATGAAGCCACCCTAAGGAAACTACTCATCTTTGCCTGGAAACTCAGGGCTTGTTTACTCTGGCAACTTACTGTGCTGTAATATTCTTACTCAGGGGTGTGAAAAAACATACACCTCCGAGCGCACCAATTTACAGCATTGTGAAGCGCCAATGTAAACAGGCTCCAGAGCTGGGAACTATGCCTCTCATTTATTTGGTTTACATAGAGCACTGGATATCTGTCTCCCAGCACTGGTGCCATGGCCATATTTTTACATTTTAAATGTAAACTTAGCCTCAGCAATGCCTCCAGACATGCCTGGGCTTGTGCTTTCCAACTTAATAAAAACTTATCACAGGGACCCATGCTTTTGTCTCTCCTGCCCTATGTGCAAGGATACTCTGAAGAATCCAACAGATGCATGGGTCCAGATTTCAAAGGTGAAATCTCTGTTTTATGAACTGCAGTGTCCAATGAGGTGAGAAAAAAACTGCACGATCTAGTTTGTTGCCCCGTCTAATATGGTTGAGAGTTTAGACTGTTTAATATTTTCTTTTGGTAACTACTCTGAATTTTTGCCTAAAACTTAATAGTCACTTAAATTCTTTGTAGTCGATAAACTTCTTTTACTATTTATTTTTACCAATTAGTTGTATGAAGTGTATGGTAAATTTGTTCACCAGTTTTACAAAGACTAGTGTATATCTACTTTCTATTGATCAATAGTGAATTAATTAATAAATTAGATAATATATTTTTGGGGTACAGAGCTGGGAGCTGAGGGAGATTTGATCTGGTGCATTACTCAGATTCATAAGTGACTCTGGGAGAATTCATGAGATCTGGCTGGGTGCTGGGCTCCACATACAGCAACTGGAGGGTTGACTGCTGATCATTAGTAAGGCATGGTGAAAGACAGCTTCGGCTCGGAAGAGGGCAGAGTGGTTCCTCGGTAGGATCTCAGTCAAACAGTTTAATAACAGCCCTTTTTCCCTGTTCCCTTCATGCGAATGGAAAGTTACTTCCGATCCTCAGTCCTTGCAGGTAGGACAATCACTCAAATAATTATGAATTACATTTCAAATATCTCTAACTCCAGGCATAATACATGGCTTAATGCCATATCTATTTGTAAATTAAAAGAAATAAAATGAAATAGCTTTACCTTTTCAGTTGTTAGGGGTTTCAATGGCTTTTCTGATTCCCTCTCTCTCTTCTTCTCATCTTTTTTTTTCTCTTTTTCCTTCTGTAAAAGAAAGACCATGTTACTTGACAGGAAAAAAAAATGTTTGCAAATATTATTAACTTAAATTTTAAATTTTAAGTAAATCCTGCTGAGCACAAATGAAAGTTTTCATATAGAAACTTATTCTACATCTTAGAGTTATAATTTTTGAAAATGTTGAAACAAAATTATTTATTGTACTTTCATCCTGTATGTTATAGTAATAGTCTATAATCAGTATGGTAGTTTTCAATGTTGCAAAGAGAGATTACCAAACTAAAATAAGTCTCTAGTCAGTAAAAAAGCCAAGCTGTTTCAGGCTCAGCAATCTAGTTTTCTAAGTGAAGATGTTTCAAGACACAACAGTTAGTGATTTTTAACTTCTAATAGCAGGGGTTCACACTAAGGATGGTAAGTACCATGTAATTCACTAAGCATTTTTGCATAGACTACTCAATTAGTCGATAGGGCAGCACTGCCCATTTGAAACACTGCCACGGCATTTCAAAGGGGAAGTACCGCACAGAGCCACGGTCAGCTGGGGGCTCCCCAGCTAACTGTGGGGTCCACATGGCGCTACCCCTTTGAAACACTTCCACAGTGTTTAAAAGGGGCAGTGCACATGGAGCCCGGAATCAGCTAGAGAGTCCCCAGTTGTCTCTGGGCTCCACGTGGTGCTGCCACTTTGAAATGCTGTGGTGGCATTTCAAAAGGGCAGCGCCGTGCTGAGCCCAGGATCAGTTGTGTGGTGCTAAGAGGCAGCAAAGGGGGAGAGCGACTAGTCAACTATCTGATAAGCACATGCTTATCAGATAGTCGACTAGTTAACTAGTCCTTAACATCCCTATTACACACCTCATTACACTTCGGAGTGAATAGGAAATAATTTTTAAATGTATAATCTGAGTTCAGAGAACTATGGCAGTTAGAATAACGTTCATTTTCAATTAGTACTACTTTGATCAGTTTCTCCCCCCCCCCCCCTGCAAAAATCATTTGTACTATTTTTTCAACAGTTTGTCACCTGCAACAGTGCGGTACCAGCTTTTTCAAAGTTTGCATAACTATCTGGCATAAAGTTACAATTAGTGTATAATATTAGATTTGTGGCCCACAATAAGATTAAACTAATTTTTCAACACACCCTAGACTTTTTCCCCTTAGTGTCAATGAACAGCCTTGTTGAAGAATAATCTTTTAGTTATGAAGTATAATGGTAAAAAATGTTCAATAATCCTATTTTTAAAAGTCTTCAAGTAGAGTCAGTGCTGAGACATTAGTTTAAATTACTTGTGAAGTCTGAAGCATCTGCATTTTTCTCTTGGTAATTTAAGATAAGGTAAGAATTTGGATATGAAAGGTCTCACACTTGAGTGCTAATTTATTGAAGGACCTACAATAAAATTAATTTGAATTTATTAATTCATTTATTTGTAAATGTTCCAAACTCATTCTGTGCAGAGAGCAAATGTTATAATTTTGGGAAGATACACCATATGTTCTTTACACAAAAACAAGGTTGAATTCCCGCTTGCTTAATGGATAAAATTTTGAAAAGCACAATTCCCATTTCAGAAGTTATCTTAGAAACTGAGAAACTTAAGAATCTAAGTCACCTTGAGCATAGGATTCAGGCCCCCAAGTAACTTAGATGCTTTTGAAAACGTTGCCTAACACTCCTTATCTCACAAGTTTTCAGTTAGTGTCAGGAGATATGAGAAATATCAGGCCTAAAATGATCTAGTTTTTATAATTGTAGTACATGGCACTAATAAACTGAGGTTTTGAAGCTTGCACAAATTATGCCTATGAAACACTGAATGCCTTTACTTGAATGCAATGTACTATGATACTCTGAAGAGGGAACAATGAAATCAAAAAAGATTCAATGTTGTATTACAGTACTATAACCTTGCTACATTAATTGACCTTTATTGTATCAACTTTTTCTTCTCCCCCACCCTACCATAGAAATCCACAGAAAGCCACCAAAAAATTGCCACCTTAAACTGGGACCAAAATAATATTGCACATTAATCATAATTTTATGTTAGACATAATTATGCAAGTTTTGCAGAATTCTTATCACATTGCTCCATGTGCCGAACTGTTGGGAAGATACGGGACATGAATGAGGTTATGTAGGTTCAATAGGGTGACCATCCATCCCGATTTTACCAGGACTACCCCATATTTAACATGTCTTCCAGGCATCCCAACTTTTTTTTAAAAAGGGGACAAAATGTCCCATATTTGCATACCCTCTGCTGGTCCTTGAGTTCCCCAGTCAGTGCAGCTGCAGCAGCCTCCTATTTGTGGCTGGCAGTATAACAGGCACCAACCCATGTAGCCAGGCAGGGTGCCAACAAAGAAACAGAAAGAAACAAGGTAGTACTGTCTCCCCCCCCTTCTTTAAGGTGCACAGGGAGGGAAGGAATCTGCCAGCCTTTCCTGGGTGGCCCCAGTGTTCAGCTTGGGGAAAAACGCAGGAAAGTCTATCTGTTCATTCATGTGGAAGGCAGAGAGAACTTTCTGGAGAAATCTGGCATGGGGTCAAAGCGTCACTCTGTTGTTGCTGCTGAAAATTGTATAAGAGGGGTTCGCCATTAGGGCTGCAAGTTCCCCTACTTGCGACTAAAAAGGAGATTATTGCGACTAGAAAGGAGACCTTCATAAATAGGTATGACTAAGGACAGGTTGTCAATGGCTCAAAAGGTGGCTTCATCAGGCTCTTAAGTACGTGATTGAGGTCCCACATGGGAACTGGTGGGTAAATGGATGAAAAGGTATTTTGTAGACCAGTGAGGAATCTTTTGGCGATTGGGTTAGAGGGGAAATAATTATCCTCAGTGGTGTAAAGAAAGGCTGCTATAGCAGCTGCATAAACCTTGATAGTACTTAAAGCCAGGACCGACCCTCTAAGTATAAGGTATAGTCCAATAGGAGGGGGAGGGTTTCAGAGAGTATAGTGTGAGTACATTTAAGCCACTGGGAGAATCAGTTCCATTTGTAGAAGTACATTCTCCTGGTGGATTCTCTTCTGCTGTTGATTAGTATTTGTTTTACTCTGAATGGGTGTTTTCAGCATCCTGGAACCAAGAAGGAGCCAGGCATGGAGGGGAGAGGGTGGGATTTGTGCGGTTTGGGGTGGAGAACTGTTTGAGACACGATCACATTGATTCTTGGAGAGACGATTTTGTTGAGGTGGTAAAGCGTATGGCTCCGTTACTGTTATTCTGTGGAGGTAAGGATACCATGTCTGACTCAATCATGCTCGTGCGATGAGAATCATGGGTGCTCACTCTGTTCTGCTTTTGATGATGTCCTTGTGGAGCATGGGAAGGTGTAGGAACGTGTAGAATAACAGTGCATCCCATTTGATGGAGAAAGCATTCCCGAGAGAGTGCTTCCCTAAGGCTGCCCTGGAACAGTAAAGGTGGCATTTGCGATTGTCCCTGGTCATGAAAAGGTCTACGTCTGGCTGATCCCATTGGCATAACACATAACTGAGGGTGTGCATGTCTCTCTTCCATCCGTGGCGGTGGCAGAACTTGTGAATGAGGGCGTCTGCTGTAACATTTAGCACCCCTGGGAGGTAAGTGGCAACGGAGGTAATCTGGTGCACCAGGCACCAATTCCATAGTTTGAGAGCTTCCGTGCACAGGGATGGGGATCGCACACTGCCTAGCCGATTAATATAATACATGCAAGTGGTGTTGTCTGTCAATGTTGACAGTCTTGTGAGATATATAGTGTAGGAAATGCTGGCATGCATACCACACTGCTCTCCGTTCTAAAAGGCTGATATGGAGCATTTGCTCTGCAAAGTATCATTTGTCTTGGGACATGAGGGCTCCTAGATGAGTGATGCATCAGTCATGATGGTAAGTGTAGGGGATGGCTGATGGAATGAAATGCGTTTTAAAACATTGTGTGGATTCTTCCACCAGTGCAAGGAGTTGAGGACTTGTGGCGGAATGGTAACTGACTTGGAGAGCAGGTCTCTGGATGGGGTATAAAGTGTGGCGAGCCAAGACTGAAGGCATCTCACGTGGAGCCTCACCAGCCTGATGACACAGGTTGTGGCAGCCATGTGGCCTAAGACTTCTAGGCATTCGTGAACTGCCATGTTAGCGGTTGCCCGAGCCACTGCTATGAGATTGTATAATGTGTCAAAACTGTGTGTGGGCAGAGTTGCTTTGGCTGCGACAGTAATGATGTGTGCTCCTATAAACTCCAACACCTGAATGGGATGGAGTGTGTATTTCTCATAGTTTATATCGAAGTGAGGCGGAACAGGTGGCGTGTGGTAGTCTCACATGATTTTTGTCTCTTGGAAGGACGTGCCTTTATGAGGCAGTTGTCTAAATATGGAAATATTATGACTCACTGATGACATAGGTATACGGCTACCAGTACTCATTGAAGACAGGCTCAAGAAAAGAACTGTCTGTGAAACTGTCCTCTTCCCTCTCTCCCTGCAGAAGGGGGCTGATCTAGACTGACCCAGCTGGAGAGCTGAGAGTAAGAAAACAAAGGGAAAATGAAGAACCTTCAAAGAGGAAGCCTTGGGGGTGCTGCTCCACCCAAGAGCAGGAACCTCCATATGTGAGATGGCCAACTAAAGTACTGAGACAGGCCCTGTTGGTCAGACTGAGGAACAGAGTCTAAAGAGGGCTACAGATAATGTGGCATCTTGACCAGAAAACTGAGTCATTGAAGAAATACATTGGCCAGGGGAGGGCACTTTGAGAGATGGGCGCCACCACAACGAAAAGAGCTAAGAAATTGCAGGCACTGAAAGTCAGAGAAAGAGGATACTCATGAGAAATAAGTGCCAATCTATTATATTTCCTGTTGTCCTATGGGATCTTACTCTACAATTACCTAGTGACAGGAAGGCAGTGACCATTGTTCCCTCTAATCTTTTCCATCCACATGCGGAATATTTTTTACATAACTGAAGCATGTGTGAATGTCCACCACCAATAGAAACAGAGACCTAATTGTGGGAACTCTGCCAATCAGCCAGGCAGTATCTGATTCTCTCCTGAGTGGCCCAAAAGCGCACAGTTTACAGGGAACACAAGCAGTAATCCTTTCTGTACATAAGAAACTTAGTTTTGTGACCGTAGCCTGGTAGTTTGCCACCTGAGATTGCAGTAAGGCAAAGGAGTATGCTTTTTGCCCATAAATGTCTACTTTTTTAGAGTCCATATCCTTCAGTGTACTCATTGAAAACTTAAATGTCACCAGAGACTAGGATTTCTCCCACTTCTTTGATGCATCAAAGGGGATCTTCTCTGGGGCACATGCAATGACAGTCCCCAGTAAAGCCAATACAGCCAAAGTGACATGCAATAAGACAGGGGTGAGAGACCACTGACCCACAGAAAAATCAGTCAAAGGAAGAGAGAAAAAAGAGAAAGAAAACTCAAAACCTCAATGATCTGACTCCCAAATAAGCAGGAGGGGAGAAAAATTATCTTACTGACTTGGCCCCAATTGAGGAGCAAGGGAAAAAAAGAAAGATTTACTTGACTCATGAAAGTAATGGAGCAAGCTTGCTGATGAATATGCCTTCCCCCCGCCCCATTGTATCCAGCCTCTTCCAAACCCTATCATAGGGTTGTTAGTTTCTGACAATGTGGACAGTGTTCTGAGGCATGCTGTTCACCAAAACAGCAAACACATTCTGCGTGCCTGTCAGAAATTGAAATGGATAGCCTGCAGCCCGTACACTTTTAAATCAGGACAAGCCCAGCATATCCTAGAGCGCGGGCAGTAAGCGTGGGTTTAGTATGTCCTTCGTGCACTTTTCTAGTGATTTTTTTTGTGACTACTAAGGAGAGGCAGCAGTTAGGAGAAGAAAAGTAGGAAGGGTTTCTGAGGGCAAAGTATAGATAAGTAAGTAATAGATGAGGTAAAGGGAGACTGCTGATCGGAGACCACAGCTGGCAGCAGTTGAGAAGGAACTGAGGGGGGGCAGCCAGCTGCGCATGTGCAATAGCCTCCTTAGAACACACACTCGCACGTGCAACCAGACAGGGGATACTGCTGTCACAAATATCCCTTCGTGGGCTCAGTGGCACGGAAGCACCTAAGGTGAAACACCTACAGGAACACTCCTTGAAGAAGTAGTCATTCTTCTGCTCTACTCTGTGCTGATTAGGCCTTTATTGGAGTATTGCGTCCAGTTCTGGGCACCACATTTCAAGAAAGATGTAGAGAAATTGGAGAAGATCCGAAGAGCAACAAAAATGATTAAAGATCTAGAAAACGTGGCCTATGAGAGAAAACTGAAAATTTGGCCCATTTCATTTAGAAAAAGAGAAGACTAAGAGGGGATATGATAGCACTTTTCTAGTATCTAAAGGGGTGTTAGAAGGAGGAGGGAGAAAAATTGTTCCCCTTGGCCTCTGAGAATAGGACAAGAAGGAATGGGCTTAAATTGCTGAAAATGCTTAGAATAAGATATGGCTTACTTATACAATAAATACATTCACTACTTAGATTTCCTATGTCTAACTATCGTAGAGGACATCACAGGAATCAGATGTTAGGTCATATGATTACCTTCATACATTCTTTAGGTCACATGATTACCTTCATACATTCTAAAGCCAAAATTAAGCCAAAAATTCAAAATGTATGATACCTAAAGATGGTTACCCAAGTTTGAAAACCAAAACATTGTGTGTCACATTTATCACTGCATAAAATAGGGACTTGCCTTGTGCGATAACAAGGGAACTTTGAGATCTGTCCCCCTATGGGTGCCCAGCTGTAGGTGTGTTTGTGTCCCTGAGGTGCTGATTGAAGAATTTTGGTAACAGTGTCCATTTGGCCTGAACATGTGCTGTCCCCCTTCATGGTCTGCCATGAGGCTAACCAGCAGTATGGGTGAGCCCCCCCTCCCCCCGCCCTCCTCCCCTAGTTCCTTCTCTACTGCAGAGAATGAGGAGAACTTTGAAACTCGGGGGAGGGTCATGGAGCACCCATAGGGACACACATCTCAAAGAACCATCATGACTTCATAAGGTGAGTAACTTCCTCTGCTTCTTTTGAGTAGTGCCCCCATGTGTGCACCACCATAGGTAACTCCTAAATTTTGGAATAGAGCCAGTGATCGATGATACAGGTTGCACCTCTAAAATCCAGGATTCTCTGGTCCGGCAACAACCGTGGTCTGGCATGACAATGGATGTTCCAGAATCCCAGCATGCTTCAGGGCAGTGGACACCTGGGAGCCTGTGGTTGGCTCATTTGGGCTGTAAGGAGGGAGCCAGAAGCCAACACACAGCTCAGTTGGGCTGCAAGGGGGACAAGAGCCATGCAGCTCAGCTGGGCTCTGGGGGAGGGCATGCAAGGAGCCGATGCGCAGCTCAGCCAGGCTGGGGAGGGGCCAGGAGCCAGTGCACAGCTCAGCCAGGCTGGGGAGAGAACCAAGAGTTGACACACAGCTCAGCTGGGCTGCAAACCGGACAGGAACCAGCACATGGTTCATATGGGCTGCAAGGGCAGGGGAACAGACAGGGAGGACAGTACCATGGAGGTTCTTGTTGTGGCAAGTAGCAAACAAGTCAATCCTCAGTGTCCCCCAAGGTCAGAAAATGGGGGTGGCATGGCATGTCATCAAGCAGCCTAGATCTCTAAGTGCACTCAGTAACGAATAGAGGTGAATCTGATGCACCAAAGGCCTTTCACATACTTGGAAATGTAGCGAGTTAACAAAGAGATGCAGCCGTCTGCCCCTCTCTGCTCCAGCCCAAATGGAGCACGGCATAGCCTCGGCAGGTTGAACCCCCAGCCAGCTGGCCAGGCGGCTGTACCTCTTTGATGCAGCGCAACTGGTCACAGTGTTTGCCAAGATTGCACCATGCTCCAGCTGGGCTGGATCAATGAGAAGCAACCACCCAGCCAGGGCCATGGTGATCGACTTCTAGTGGCACCGTGATCAACTGGTTTTTGACCACTGCTGTAGAGGTTTGTAGTGAGGATTCCCACCATTCACAGTTTTGGAGTGACTTCAAGGATGTTTGGGGGCCATTTCCATTAGCAGAAGCTTGAGTCTCAGTTTTCCCTCCTTTCTGGATCTGGATTTCAACTGCTGGCATAAACCGTACTTGTATCAGGTATGGTTCTCTCAGCAGCAAATGCATCATCAGTGTGCCCATCACTCACTGTGAGAGAGACTTTGTAACTGAGGGACCTCTTGAAACCTGGTGAACCCAGCATACCCTGTTGGGGGAAGGAGAAGAGGTGACAGGAGTTTGAAGAGATATTAAGTTTAAAGTATTATGGTTTTTAGAAGGCAAAAATATAAGATAAGGAAGTGAAAAAGAAAAGGAAGTTCTAAAAGACTGAGAAACAAATGAGTAATTCCATAGAGAGTAACTGCTAATAGACAGCTAAATCTCAGTGTCTAGCCATGGTCATTGAGAAAGAATTGAGAAGGGTTTGCCCACACAAAACCATTTAGCTTCATGAGAGAGCTGGGAGGGTAGACAAGGGAGAGCAGAACACAGGCAGGCTGAATGGACACTGCTACCAATATTCTCCAATCAGAAGCCTACAGACACACCTACAATGAAGCACCCACAGGCACATGGAGAATACAGGTTTCATCAAAGAAAAATACATGTTTTACTACAACAGTCCCAAGCATGAGTGTAATATCTTACATACCACCTGTAGTTGTGTAGTGTCAGAGGGTTATAAATGTTCAGTGTTTTAGGAGGTTATGATTTTTTTCAATGTGTATACCCTGTCCATAACTAGAAGAATGTCTTTTTTTTAAAAAGACAATGTGAATTAGTGAAATTTCAACCAAATGGGTCCATATTTATGGGCTCACTGCTTAAAATTAGTTAAAAAAGTTATTAGACCTGCTAGATGGGTTGACTGGAATAGCAGCACCCTTTCAGGGGAGATTTCTGAAGCAATTTTGGAAATCTTGCTTTACTAGAAGGCAGAAGCTTGTTGCCTTATCTAAGTAATGCTCTAATAGAAAGGAATGATTAAACAAACTCATGCCTCTTTGCTAGTGGTGTGAAGGTATGTTTATATGGTTTTCTAGGACAAAACAGTAAAATTTTGAACATGATAACCCCAAATAAGTATATATAGGTGAAAAATCATATCCCTAGAGGCACTAGCTCTTTTCAAAGATAATGAAACACTATGCTAAAATCCAGGGAAGCAACTCTACACTATGGATTAAATCAAATGTACAAATCTGTGCACTATATTATAACATTCAGACTGACAAAAAATTACACTAGGAAAACAATACCTCCAATTTGCTCTTTTCGGCAGCAGCTTGCAGAGAAGGAGAAGATGCCAAAGGCTGAACAGCATCAGAGGTGGGCATCTGTACAAAGCAGATGAAAGGGATGAGAAAGGAACCAAGGCAGATTATCAGAATTAATAGACTACAGAAAGAGCAAAGAACATAAGATTCCATTTTTTCCCCCAAGATACAGAAGCACTTTGGAGGAAGGGGAATCTTACAATATTAAAAGACCAAAGCAGACGAGAGAAAGCATTTACATTCTGGTCTTCTGAATTTTATTAGTGCTACTTCTAAAGGAAGAGAGGTTTGTCAAGGTAACAGTGAATGATTTATGATGAAATTCACTAGAATATAAAAATAAGAAAATGAACCTGGATAAGATCACATCACAAGAATGAGAAAAATAATTAGGTTTCATCCACTGTTCAATTTTATCCAATGTGACTGCTGAAATATTAATGTCCTGGAGCATGAAGGCATGCTTTTGTTCTTGTTCACTGTAACGGAATATTTATTTAAAGAATACAGAAAAATAACTCTGAAAGTTACACATTTAATTAAAGTTCTAATGAACTGCTCTCCATTTAACATACTAAACAGGGAAAAGTGGTTTCTACAAAGCAGCACTAAGCAATTTTATATTTATTTATATATAATATATAAATTTCATTCTAAAAATCATTGTGCACAACCACTATTACCAACACAACTTCCAGAATTACCAAAGATATTATATGAGAGTTATATGCACCAGAGGCAATTTACATTTGAAAATGGGATTAGTCTGAAAGCATTTTTATACATCTTCCTAGCACCCCCCCCCCCCCCTTTTTTTTTTTTTTTTGGTGTGTGTAGCTTCCATTAAAGTAATCAACATTATCCTTCTATTCCTTTTTACAGGAAAAGGCCACTGAAATAGGTTTACTAAATGTGCAGTAAATCTTCAGAGCAATAAATCTGACAACTCTGAATTGCCATATATCATTAGTACCTACAAGGAAAATTTAAAAATAAATGGAGCTATTATAGCACAGGTCTTTGTACTGTCAAAAAACCCTGATTATTTAGATACAGTGTTGTAGCTGTGTTGATCCGAGAATAATAAAGAAAAAGGGTAGGTTAGGTAATATCTTTTTCTGAACCAGCTTCTGTTGAGACACACAAGTTTGAGCTTACACAGAGCTCTTTCTTCAAGCATGGGAAAAGTATTTTCCAGCAACTGAAGAAAAGCTCTGCGTAATTTCAAAAGCTTGTCCCTTTTACCAACAGAAGTTAGTTGAATAAAAATTACCACCTCACCCATCTTGTACCGCTAATATTTAAAGTGGCATTCTTATCTTTTTTTACTAAATAAACTGACTCAACTTCTTACAATGTAGTTGAAAATTACAAATAAACTCCTTGTTATATCTTTAGTGTTGCATGTTTGTCATAGAAGATCCCAGAAGTATTGCTATAGCTATTTTATGCATGTTTTGAATATTAATATCCACTAACCATACAGAAACAGACCCTGGAAATATGCTTTGCTCTGAAGGTTGGTGCATAATATTCTAGAAAAGAAAAGGGTGTTTGGTTTCATTTTTAAAATAGTGTGCTCAGTATTTTCAAGAAGAAATTTCACCCTGGGTTAAACTTGCATAAGTGAAACATTTATACAAATGTGACTTGGTCAGTATGTTTTTGCTTTTACTTTGTTATAGAAACTACTAGTATTACTGTAAGAGCAACTCTCCTTGTGTAATGCAGTAAATTTAATCTTATGCTTATAATTTTCTGTTGCTATGGAAATAGTGATATCACATTCAGCATTTTGATTTTACCAAATTAATTTCCAAAATGAAGACATGGGGGTTAGTCACTTATAGCCTTATTTTAGCATGAAAAGATTTGGTAATAATACATAGTAAACTACAACAGCCTGCCCACTTAATTAGCTTCACTAACACTGGTTTTACAATGAAAAGTTAATTGCTTTTGCTGTTATATATATCTTGGATTCTGTATACAGTATTTATTAGTTTCTAAGGTGCTACAGCACTGCTCTTATTTAAAATCAAGACAGCCAAGTCTTTGGTCAGATGTGCAAGACACCCCATAAAATCATTTAAATGTGCAGCTGTTCTTTCTGGTGCTTAGAAACATACTCTTCAATTCTCTCACACATGGGTCAGAATCAAAATACGAGGCAGCGTTTGCGGTTGGGGGGTGGAATCTTTTTAAATTGCAAAATTGGAGTTTTCTGCATTTTAAAGTCCGTTAAACAAATGATAACTTCCATTAGCCAGGACATAACACACATTCAAATGATGCAGTAGGTATCAAACTTTCTGAGCCCATCATGATCTATACCATAAACATATGTTGCAGCATTAGTCCATTTACTAAATGACAAACACAAAAACCCTGTGCCTACATAATAGGCATAACAATTTTAAACATCTTAAGTGTATTACAATGCACTTGGAATCAAACATTTTGAATCCAGAATGACAACAACTGATTCAACAGTTGTCCACTGTGACTTTGTTTCTTCATTCTTTGATAAGATCGTAGGCCATTTGACACTAGATTAGCTGTATCCAAGCAGGAGAGGAATGCCCAACTTAGGCAGTGGGCTGTCGTCTCATCTTCTTTGACGAAGCCAACAATATCTTACATTACCATTGCTATTAAATATACAATTGAAATCTTCAGGGGATAATCCTAAATCATGGGTTGAGATACCACCAGTATTTTCAGCTCTGTAAGGACTGCCAACTAATATCAAGATATTATGGTGATAAGAGCTTTGGAAACATTATTTGTCAAGGGTTGAATGATTTTTGTTTAGCCCAGAGGAAACAATGATACCAATAGTTGGCAAGATGACTATTCTGAGAAACCTGAGTGTGACCAGTTATATTGTTATTGAATACACGAAGCACACTTTGGCCTTAGTGTGTAGAGGAACTGATGCTTTTTATAAAAATTTTAAATTATAAAAAGCTACATTTCTTGAAAGGTTACTGAGATCAGTTGGATCCTCTCTTATCTGTCTTCAAGTTCTTTCATTGCAGGATGATATCAAGGAAGGGTCTTCAATCTGGAAACTATTTATAGATTCCCCCTATTCCTATTTCACAGAATGTATGTTAGATTTCCACTGTACATGTTTTCAAGGATTTGTGAAAGACCTACTAGAAACCAGTTCACTTACAGCAATTCAAGCCTCTCTTCCTTCTAGCCCCAACCAGCTCTTCCTTTTCAATCACTATTGGTGATATTGTTTTTCTTAGTGGATCTTTTTGCCCATTTTAACTTAGTGGTATATTTCACTGTGTCAGATGTTTTGCACAAGACATTATGGTAAATAATTTGTTAAAATCATCATTACTCAAAATGTTTTTGCATCTAAAACATTTCCATGAATTTAAGATTTTAACCTCATCATCTACCCTTACCAACAAAGATTCTTGGTCCACTAAAAGATCCAATTTAATAGGAATAAAAGTTAATGTAATAGAATGCACTAGATTTCAGTTTCTTATTTGAATGTTCTTATTTCACTCTCTAGCTGGAAAAACAATCTAATAACCTATACAAACTGATTGCTTTGAATTGAAATTACTGCCCAGTTGTTCTACCATCCAATTAATAGATTAAATATGATAGTATCTCATAGGAAAAGTGCTTAACATTTACAGTACCTAACTTCCTTTTACATTTTTGCCAAGATCTGTGCAATACAGGCAGTCCCCGAGTTACGCGGATCCGACTTATGTCTGATCCGCAGTTACGAACGGGGTTCCTCTCCCTGGTCTCCAGCAGACCAGGGAGAGGAAGCAAAGCAGCGGAACACGTGGGCAGCGGACAGGGCTGTCCGCTGCCCACGCGCTCCGAGGCTTGGCTCTGCTTTGCCCCCCGTCCCCCGTCCCGCAGACCAGGGGGACGGGGGGACGGGGGCAAAGCAGAGCCAAG